GCCTGTCCAGGTCCCTCTGGATAGCTGTCCCCTCAATAGCTGTAAGGGAATGCTTTGAGGTTGGTTTAAGAAAATACCAGCTATACAGGACCTGCCTTTATAGCTGATGTACAGATTTGTGCTTGAACGACACTAGGATTTTAATTTAATTTCTGAGGCCCCATTAGGTGAAGGTCAGTGAAAGTGCTCATAAGGAGTTTTTCTCCTCGGGAGGAGCGTGGAGGCACAGGGCATGGCCAGGATCCCCCATGCAAGGGGCAGGGCTTTGGGATGCTGTGATTGCCCATACAGACACATGTTGGGCAGTATTTCTTGCAGAATTATTCCAGTTCACTTGAAAGATTTTTATCCTCACATCTGGTTAAGGGGAATCGGTTGTGGGTGGTACTCGTGGTGGGACACCAAGTGCCGTTATCTTCCCTGGCCTTCAGAGCCAGCTTTGTATCTGGACCAAGTGCCCGGGAAGGTACTGCTGTTCCGTGAAACACTGAAAAACAATCAGAAGTGAAATTACTGCCAACGAGTGAGGAGGGAGGACTATTTATAAATGTGCTGGCAGATTAAACAAATATCCCTTGTCTGCAAGTTTTGCTTTGTTGTCAGTCGTGGCTGGAAAACACAGAAGGAGTATATGAATTTATTATGCTAGGCCATACAGAGTTATAAGTGATATATGAAGCATGGAAATGGACTTGCATGTCTCTGAAATTGCCTTTGTGAGTTGTTGTTTTGATGTGCCTGTCAGAGCTGCAGGGAGACTAACGCAGGCTGAGCATGGACAGAAACAGCTGATGATTTGGGGATTGGTGGTCATTCGGTTTCAAAGCGTTCTCCAGGCTTTTTCTCAAGTCTGGGACAAATATACATGGCAGTGTTGGGACTTCGTAATCAGATCTTCTGGGGAAGAGATGAAAACAGATTTTACTTGTATCAGGGCAATTCCTGCAGAGACCTCTTTGTTCAATCTGAGCTTGTATGGATTTGGGAAACTGCAGTTGCGTAACGTTACGGCTGGATGGATGCATTCTCTCTGCCATCACTTGTGGAAAATGCCATTTAGGAAATGGTTTGGTTTCCCTCCACTTCTCTGGGCTGCACAGGAAAAAAAAAAAGGCCAAGGAGCAGAGGGTTGCAGAGGGGGAACCTTTTTGCATCACCAAGAAATACTCTATTAAGACAAGCTTGAGGCAGAGAAAGGCAGCAAGCATGGAGAGAGGTTTTTAGTATCCAGGGCAGCCAACCCTGCACTTTTTATAAGCACTGAAATTCAGCAAGTTTGCATTTGTCAGTAGTGTGCCTCTTTCTCTAGCTTGTTGGTTGCTGCTGTCTTACATAGCACCTGACATTTTAACTAATTTCAGCAATATGTGCCTTTTTTTAGGCTGTCTGTTGAGGTAATACTGTAAGGGATTCAAGATCAACATGACTTTGGCATTTAGGAAGCACAGCGTGTGTGCTAAGAGCAATATCATATAGAAATAAAATGCTTTGCAGTGGTAATCCCATGCTGCTGCCCTGCAGACTTCTTGAGTTGCCTGCACGTGGTAGAGTTGGTGGCTGGGGCTCGGTGGGTTGCCTGGGCTGGGGTTAGGAGAGCCTCGTGTTCCCAGCGGGTAGCCCCGCTCTCAGCACTGCTGCAGACGGTGGCCTCCTGGGACATCCTCTTTGTGTCAAAACTTTCCAGACTTTCCAGACTGGCTGTGTTTTTATTACATTAACATCACAGATAAGAGCAAAGCTCTTGTCCTTTAGGGACCAGCCCATAGCCTCAAGTTCAGTTCCTGGTCTCAGGTTTTCTACTGGTCAGGGACATTCTTACCCTGAATTTTCATCAGGAAACTTCTCTGGGTTTTTTACTCTCCTTTATAGCTGAAATGTGCTGCAGCCATGTGTGAGAGTCCACGTGGGAAGTATATTGTGTGGTACATAGTACCGCAGCCTCCAGCAGTACCACGTAAGAATCCATACCCACCACTGACTCCTAAACCTGGTTAGCACCGGCTTTCCTACACACTGAAACAAAAGTATATTATGAGTGTATGAGGCAGGGAGATCTGTCTTTTGGAGGGCAAATAGGTCAAGCTCAATAGAGGTTAAATCATCGTATAATCCACCCACTCATGCATGCACGTCCCACTTAAAACTGTGGAGTGAGGCGAGCACTGCATTGTCTGTGCCTTTCCCTCTGGCCAGAATGGCGTTCACACTGTAATATTACATACGGATAATTATAGCATGTGTCTTTTCAGAACATGGTTTTCGTAAGCAAAGAAATTGCAGGAATGGTATTATTCATCAGATGCGAGCAGACCATTTTCTTTTCTTTCCAAATGTTCTAGTTGGAAAATTACTCAGCACCTTTGCCCGAGTTCAGTAGTACTGCTGCAGGGGGTTTAGCTTGTTTTGTTTGATTTGGGTTTTATTTGCTCAGCATAAACTGCTTGTGACCCAGGTTCTCATTTGGTAAATACTGCTGTGATGAAGTTCACTTTTTGGATGTACTTAGATCTCTTTGCAGCAAAGAAGGATTTGGCCTTGTATCTTTTTGAGCAAACAAAAAATTGTGCGTGAGGGGGAAAGCTTCTGTAGCGTAGTCTGACAGATGCTATCCATATACTGTTGAGATCTTCACAGAAGCAACCCTTTTTCTTTTGCTGCACGCATCTTAACTAACACCTCCTACACATGTGTTTCCTGTGTAGGGGATGTGATCAGCCCGATGGATGGGCCAAGGGGTTTGGCATGTGGCTTAAGGCACCTTTGGTAGAGAGCCATGAAAGTGCTCTCTGCTCACAGAACGGGGAAGAAAGTAGGTCCTGGAGGACCAACCTGAAGCCTCTTCAGAGCTCGTTATGTCTGGGTTTCCCTCTGCAGCTTCACAAGCTGGCAAGTGCCTTCTCTTGAGCATTTGTTCTGCTTCCTTACTGTTCTCAGAGCTGTTTCCAGTGCTCATGGGGCACCATGGTGAACCACATCAACGAGCTTTCCTGAGCTAAAAATACCCTCTGTCCATTTACTTATACATTGTCCTGCATTATTTGTAGCTTGGATCAACTCTTTGGTATGGTTCACTGAGTGGCCCCATGGGAGGAGCGCAGGAATAACCATGCCCTCTGCCTGCTGCATCAGCCTTGACCTAGTAGGCAGTGAAAAAGTCTGTGTTTCTCGGGATGGCTGAGCCAAGTTCAGAGCTCCAGCACTTGTCCGATCCCAAGGGAAACACGTTCAGACACGTGCAGTTTCTCCTAGGGCTTGTTTCAGTGAGCTGGACTGCGCAATCCAACCAGTGCGAGCCATGTAGGGTCGATGCTGGGTATGAGTGACCAGGAGGGTGCCACTGCAGAAGGCTTCTCCTTCCACCCTTCCTTCAGTTCAGACATGACATCAACACTGCAGCTTCTGCACAGGGCCTGTCTCGAGTACCAGTGCAAATCTTTGCTGCTAACACCAGGGATGCAGCGAGAGCATCAGGCCATTTGTGGACCCTGCAGACCAGAACAAGGTGACCTGTGTGTCTTCATCCCTCCGAGCAGTCTAAACTGCACCTGCTTCTGCGTTGTATTTTAGTGTTTCACATCATTTTATAGGTCAGGGCTGAGGTGCCTAAACTGGGCATCCAAGCTGAGGTTTTGAACCATTTGAGAATCTTTAGTTACTGGCTTTTTCTTTCATTGGAAGAATGCAAATATTGGTTTGAAGCAGGAGCCCATTGGGACAGTTAAGTTTGAAACTGCAACAGAAAATTCTGCTTAGGAATTTCTTGTTCTTAATGGGAATTCAAGGCAAACGCAAAAAGGGTCATTTTCTTCACTTGATGCATATGTAGTAACAATCTGCTTAGGCAGTGTAATCACAGCCCCTGTTATACTGCCCTCATTTACTGGCGGTTGCCAGTCACCCTGATCCCAAACACCATAACGTTTATCTGGACATATAACGAGGAATAACTGAGGAATGTGATTGAATAACCTTCCTTTAAACATGGACAAAGAATATTTAATCTGTTATCACTGTAGCTCCTTAATGGTGGTGACTGTACTGTGAGAAGTAACACATGCTCACCATATGGTTTGGACAGTTGATAAGTATGTTTTTATCACTGTTTATTAAGTTATTTTTCCTACTAATAAAACATCAGTTGTTTGGTAAATCTTCAAAAGGTGTTGTCTTATGTTACTAACTCTGAAACTTATTTCTAGCTTTGTCAAGAGTCTTGGGTTTTTGTTTTATAGCACCCCACACAACGGCGTTCCAGTTTGTGACTGGTGCTTCTAGGGATTATGGCTCTACAAAAGTATCATTTTGTTTACTTTTTTTCTCTGAGTTAGAAGAATGCAATTCTTTTGGTGTCTTATGTAAAGCTGCGAGGTCAGGCTTGGGTTGTGTTACAGCACTGATGAGATAAAAGCCTCCTTGTGCTCCCACTGAAGAGCAAAGTTGGGCTGAAGATTTCCACCTGGAAATATGAAAGCCTCATCTTGGAGTTATTTATATAACAGAAAGTGATGGAGGGCTGTTGCAGCTTTTAATTCTGGTACATCTCTGTGCCTGGGAAACGTCACGTGCTCCCTACATTATTGCCATTAGGGTCATGCAAGATAACATTCTTAGAATTACAGAACCATAGAATGGTTTGGGTTGGAAAGGACCTTAAAGCCCATCCAGTTCCAACCCCCCTGCCATGGGCAGGGACACCTTCCACTAGACCAGGTTGCTCCAAGCCTCATCCAGCCTGGCCTTGAACAATTCCAGGGATGGACCATCCACAACTTCTTTTTTCTTATGAATCTGTGCTGATGCTTCACTTACTGTAGTGCCTGTAGGCAACAAGTCTTTACCCTGTACTTATTTTTGCTTTCCTTCATGGAGTTTTCTTCTTTCTTCCACAGTTTGTCAAGGGACAAATAACAAGCTGACCCAGCTGGGACATGTGGAAGACCATTTCACCAGCCTGCAGAGGATGTACAACAACTGCGAGGTGGTACTGAGCAACCTGGAGATTACATACGTGGAGCACAACCGTGACCTCTCTTTTCTGAAGGTTAGAGTTCTTGGCCAATGTGGCCTTCCCTGCTAAAGGAACCTTACTGCATTTTTTAAGTGCAAAGGGTCAACTACCTGTAAAATTCTGTGGTAATCCAAAAACATGGCTAGCTAATGTCAGGGCAATTGCAGATCACAGTCTCAGCGTAGCTGTAGGCTGCAGGGTACGCACAACTCTACTATACTAAATCAGGTACTTGGAGAAATAGCTTTTCAAGTACCTGACAACCTGTGCTGGCTGCCATGCAGATGGATTTCTTCTTATTTATAAATATTATTACATCCTTACCCGTTGCCTCACTCCTCAGGGGGCAAAAGACTTTGTGGTGCTCTTGGTCAAAGCAAATTGCAAAGCGAGTGGCAACCTGCCGATGGCAGATTTTGAGGTGTGGAGGTCCTTCCCCTGCCCTCTTAAGCTGTGGCCCCTTCTCCTGCCGTGGTGGTGAGTGCTTCTCCAGCCTGCCACGCACTCACCCCAAGCAGGCAGGCAGGTCCTGGGCAATAACTTCCCACATGGATGCTTTGAGCGATCTTCAGGGTAATCCTCTGCAGTTGATAGACGGGCTACTCCCATCTCAACATCTGTTTTGTGCACAAGTGCATGAGCAGCCATGGCAATCTGAGAGGGAAACAGGCAGGGGATGGGTGTTAAAACGCAGCCGCAGCATGGGGAGGAGCACTGCCTGCCACGGAGACCTCCAGGTTCCCCACCAGCAGAGACTGGGCAAGGGGTACAGCTCTGCTGCCCCACGGCCAGGCTGCCGCCAGCAGCAATAATCTCAAACCTTAAGTTATATATATATTTTTCTTTAAGAAGATTTTTAAAATGCATTGCTTTTTGCATGCCTGGTTATCAGATTAGGAGGTTTTCGAAGAAAGTGACAGGAGAGGAAGAGGTCTTTTTGACCTGAGAAGTGTATGTCTGGTATCGAGAGCTCCTGTACTGTAGCTTTGAATAAACAGGTCAGTCCTCTAAGTTGAGAGGAGTCATGTCTTTGTGTGAGCTTTTCCTCTCAGGGAATAAAAAATAGGAAATAACATTTCATTATAGTAACAAGCAAGAACATCAGCAAAAGATGGTTCAGACGTATGGGTTACACATATGATGGTATTGCCATTTTTCTTTCCCAAGCACAATTTGACCATGGAGCTCAGTGTTCCCAGGAACATAACAGGTCTCATGAAAACTCACTGGTAGTCTTGACAGAATAGGAAAATATCCTAAGTGATAGCCTGGGGGGTTTTCATTTACGGTGATTTTTGTAGGAGACAGAAATGCACACATTTCACAGTACAAGGCAGGAATTAACCTACATCCAGGGGCAGTGCCTCCCTTGTCTTGTTGCCCTGCAGCTATTTATGATTTAAGAGGGAGAAGGTTACCTGATCTTCCCCTCTGCTGAACACTAGAGGATCTGCAAGGGAAGGGGCACAGAAGAGAGAGTGTAAAAGCCTCAGTCAGATGGTGTCTCTGTGCTGCCAGTGGTTGGGGGATGGGCAAGTATTCAGGGGGAATCATCAGACTTGGTTGATGTATCCTACATGCTTGCCCTGTTCTCCTACGTCCCCTAGGCAACCCCACTTGCCCTTGCTTGGGCACAGAACAGGGATAAGATGGCACTTTGGAATGACCCCCTGGTAGCTGCTGTAAGGGTCAGTTTATACCTGCTTAGACAGCGACGTTTTCCTCATAGTCCCTTCTTGTTCTCAGATTTATTTATTTTTTAATGAGATTAAGGGGTTTATCGTTCCTTAAAATTGAAAGATGATGGATTGGAGGGGTGGGAGGAGGAAAGCAACTCCATCAAGAGTAGAAGAGCGCTATGGATTAAGCTCTTTGTTTCTTTTGTTGTTCTCTCAGACAATACAGGAGGTTGCAGGCTACGTGCTCATCGCGCTTAACATGGTGGATGTCATTCCTCTAGAAAACCTCCAGATCATCCGAGGCAATGTGCTGTATGACAACTCTTACGCCCTGGCAGTTTTATCCAATTACCACATGAATAAAACCCAGGGACTCCGAGAGCTGCCAATGAAACGGCTATCAGGTGAGATGGGGGCAAGCGGTGGAGGCACCTGTAGAGCAAACTTCAACTGTTAGGGTATGGATATCAAGATCCAATCAAAGATCTCCTTTGAAAGTTACATGCCATCAAATTCTGCTTTAAAAACAAGGATCTGAATGTAGTTTCCCAGTTTCCTAATTGCTTTTCTGCTAGCCATCCTTCTTCAAGAGATGAAGAAAGTTCAGTTTTTCCCATTGAAGAAAGAGCCAGCAAAGTCCAAAGCATCAGCAGGGTGATGAGATTTATTTCTGTCCCCCAAAATGATGGAGAAGTATCCACACATTATTTTGCTTTATTTGATTCCAGTGCGTGCACATCAGTATCTTCTGTTAAATTCCAGTGGGAGCTGGTGGTACGTGAGTTAGGGTCCTACTCAGCCTCTGGCTGTGCACACCAGCAGTGCCATCTCTGCTGAGTGCAGTGGCCTCTGGAGGTGGCACCAGGCAGAAAGCCACATATAGTGGCATCTTAGTGGCATCCAACAGCAGCCAACCCTCCAGAACCCGTCAGTCTGAGCCTGGTGTTAAGTTGTACTACCAGGAGTGCTGGTGCCGCGCAGGTTGTCCTTTTCTGTCAGCACAGTATGACTGAGGTGAAGAAACCTGTGTTTTATTTCCTTTTCTTTAGATCAGAGACAGAAGACGTAGGCAGTTTGTTTCACTTACCAATTGTTTTTTCTTCCATGGCAGAAATTCTCAATGGAGGTGTTAAAATCAGCAACAACCCCAAACTGTGTAACATGGACACTGTTCTCTGGAATGACATCATTGACACGAGCAAGAAGCCCCTCACGGTGCTTGAATTTGCAAGCAACCTGTCTTCTTGTGAGTATTAACTCCCCCAGTTCTGGGAGAAAAACGAACATCCCATCTTTCCTGCAGTGGGTTTTGGGTCCACCAATTCCTGGGTGCAGGGCCTCCAAGCCCTCTTCCAAGGGAAGCCCATTCATTTCTTCACCATTGGCCTAAGATGTAATTTTTCATGGGGTTAGGTCCTTAACGCGTAGCTCAGTGAAGTTCTTGGGAAAGCTTCTCTTGGTTTCAGACAGTACCCTATGTATGTGTTTCTTCAAAGACAGCTCAGAACAATGTGCACACGTTTGTTTTCCAGGAATTTTCTGTTTAAAATACAATGCTGTGGTCTAGAAGACTGATATGAGTACCTTGAAGGAGTTACTGTGGGACTTGAAGTCTTTTTAGTGTTAAGGCCCAAGTGGAGTGCCATAAAACTCCAGTGTTTTGAGCTGCAAAATTAACAATAAACAGGCTGATAAATCTGATGTTTTATCTGGAGGAGCTGAACTTATATTTAAAAGTTTGAGTAGCATATGCTTTGAGTGGGCTTGAGCTAATCCTGCAGTCTTACGAGTCCTTTGTAAAATCCCCAGTCATTTCACAGAAATGAAAGTTTATTTTCATTTCTGAGCATTTCTTTTCTGGCACTGTAAATGGGTGGAAAAACATATTTTCTTTATCTTCTTCCACTTGCGCAATTGCCTGAGAGCTAATAGCCAACTTCTTTGTTGACATATTTTCTGCGGAGCCCTAGCGTAATCGAGGGGCTGCAAATGATACAAGTCAGCACAGGAGCTGGGCTCTAAACACCATGGAAATGTTAACCTTTAACTTTTCAGATTTTTAAAAAAACCTGTTCTTTGGTCCCGCACCAAATCAATCAACTCTTGGACAAGTATTGGCATTTGTTCAGCTATTTGCTGGGCGGTGGAGGGGAGGGAAAATCATGTGTTGTTAGCAGGAAGAATCACTCTAGTAGGAAATGCCTCTTCAGTGTAGTGAATTCCAGATTAAACTGCTTAGACAGCCATTTATGGTTTTAATAACAATCCCATAATCTAAAAGAAGTTGTTTCTCTGCGACTTTGTTTGTCATTAAGAGGAAGAAAAAGAAAGAAAGAGTAAGGAGGGGAGGGATGGGAAAAAGCCCAGCACTGAACCCTCAAGGTCAGGTAGTGTCCGTCCATCCTGCCGTCTCTCCACTGACTGTCCATCTGCCACGCAGGCCCTACACCGAGGAGTATGTTTGGCAGAGGGCGCAAAGCAGACAAGTCGAATTACTCTGTGGTCAGAGTAGCTGGCAGTCGCCTGCCAATCCAGTTGGGTTTGTTTTCTTTTTAGAACCGCGTTGTTCAGAAACACTGATTTACATGTGGCCTGTAGCAAGCAGCTGGCACATGCCTGGCCACCAGCCGGTGGTGACTTGCCGTTCCATGCAGACTCTAGCAGAAAGGCCAGCCGGGCAGTAGCTGAGATTCCTCTTCCTGGGAAAAACATGCCTCTTCTGTAAGCTAGACCGGCTGGGTGCTGCACTTCCTTGCTCAAAGGCGTGGAGAACTGCACGTAGGAAACCAGAGATGAACAAAGGATAAGGATTTAAGGCGCTCAGAATTTTTCAGCACTGGTGTATGGGTGCTTCCTCCCCTGATTTCTCAAGAAGGAAAGCTCGAGTCTTTGTTTTCTGTGACTGATGTGATGTTGCTGTCCGTGTTTGTAGAATATAACACTCTGCACTCATGTTTTAGGTCCCAAATGCCATCCGAACTGCTCAGAAGACCAGTGCTGGGGCCCTGGCGAACAGAACTGCCAGACACGTAAGCCTGCAGATTAATTAAGAAATATCCTGGGTGCTCTGACATATTAAATTTCTACCTACCGAAAAACTAACCTGTCAAGCGTGAATTAGTGGCACGTGTTCCACACTTGTCCTTCTCTGCATCCTGCTATGCTGGGGATCCTTGAAAGAGACCACGGAGGGATGTGGCCGGCTTCCCACTCCACAGGAGCGCAGTCGCGTGGTGGACGGCCGTGCCCGCTCCCCCTGAGCAGCTCCAGTGCTGGAGGGGAAGCTGCAAGGTGGTTTGACTTGGGTCTGGGTTTCCCTGCAGATGTGCGGTCCTTCCAGGGGGAAAAGACTGCAGCTGTCTCCCGTACTGAAAGCTTTTGTCTGTCGCCCACAACTTTCTCCCATCTGCGCTTGAGAACATTTACTCTTTAAGTTATTTTACCATGTAAGAGGGAACGCAGTAGCTGCATGGTGAATTGTTTGCCTTCCTGCTGTTTCCCGCAGAGCCATTCTGCAGACTATTTAACAATACTTGGGATTAATTTCTACAATTAGAAGCAACAACATAACCCAATTTTTGCTGGCTTTGATTCCTCTTTTTGGAATCCCTGTAGGTTTCTTCTGTGAACACAAAAGATGTCAACCTCTTGTGGGTAATCACACTACATATGGCATTTGGAGGGCCTTTGGAAGGCTCTCAGAAAAAGCATAAACCGTTTTTTTAGTTTGTAAATGGAGATACTTGGCATCGTGAGGTTGTTCGGTTTGGTTGCCTGTGCTTTCGTACAAAGTTTTGTAGGTAGGATGTTTGTGTGATATTAAGAGAGCGACAGAAACAGCCATTTAGAAGTGCTTGAGATTTTTCAAGGCTTTTTTTTTCCTAAAGTAAAGGCTGATGAGGAAGCCTGTCTCAATTTGGTTTGATACTTTGTTATTTCCTTTTTCTATAATAAGTGGGGGAATGCACTGTTTCTGATTCTCCTTTTCCTGAAAGACTACTGATCTAGCCATAAGGCAAATGAAAGCTACATCCTATCTTTGGTTTTCCATTGCAAAGAATCATCTAACCCTAAGTTTCCTGCTTGCAAGCATCAGGCCAAGTCTGTATGGCTGCTAGAACTTAAGGAAAAATAGAATATCTAGCTTTTCTCCTCATTTTGTATAAGCTTTAGGGTTTTTTTTCTGCAGTTTGGCTCATGCCTTGCACTGCTTTTGACATGGACAGTGTCTGCGTGTGCAAAGCCCTTCCCAGGTCGGCCCCGGCAGCTGAGACCGCTCAGCTGTCCCGCGGGTCTGTGACACCTCAGGTCTCAGCCCTGCAAGCTTCCAGCGTTCCCAGACTCTCGCTGGCTTCGAGAGGGTGACTAGGAACCCATGAAATGAAACTGTCTGCAGGCTCTGGCTCTCCTCTTGAGGCATTTGAGAATCTGTCCAGCTGAAACTGGATCCTACATACGTGGGAAAGTTTGGGGTGATACCTATCTCTGTCCTTCTATGAACGTGAGCTATTCTGTATGAAATATAAACATTTCCCGTGATATATGTTCCAGCAGGAGGGTCTAGTCAATAGTCAAAGTGACGAGCTGTTTTACTCCCCTGGTGATGCATATGAAAAAAATGATACCAAAATGCTGTGCATGTAGAACAATGTGCCTTTATTCCCCTGTTTCTAGTTGAATGGAGGAGTTGATATCAGAGAAGCTAATGCATATTGTGGAAATAATCTTTCCTTGAAAATATAATATCTTGCTTACAGGCCTAGTAAAAAAAAAGAAATAATACAGTTTGGATACAAAAGTATGTAATGGAAAAAGAAAGGAAATATGATTTTAAAAAAATCACAGACCCATATCCTGTAGCAGGTTACATTTTCCAATAATTTTCTGTTAATTAATAACCATCTGTTTAAGACTTACGGGAATTCCTGGTGATACTGTAAGTCGTTTGTGCCAACTGCAGAGTTGATAACAGTTCCTGTAGCTCACAGCCGAAATGCTCAGGGTGCTGTAATGCACCGGATTAGCCCTCAGGTTTCTCTGACATCCAACGCCAGGGTCTGTGGATCAGTAATTTTTCTGTAGAGAACAAACAATTCCATTTTGGGTCTCTGGTACAAACACATGCTAGGCATTAATTTCTGGTTTTTTGTTTTGTTTTTTTTTTTTAATTGTTCTGATTGTTGTGTTCTCTGCTTTGATATTCAAATAGGGCCGATTTCCCGATTCTCAACAAAATGTTGCGGGCAGTTTTTGCTTCCCTGCAAAAAGCTGAATCAGGGCCAGTTCTTCCTCTGGGTTGCTGCACTGGTGCAAACCCTGTGGGAGTTGTGTAATGAAGCTAAAATTTGGCCAAGGAATTGAAGCCTAAAGAAAAAGAATACAATATGCATATGAAATCAGTTTGCTGAGTGGGTCTCCCCCCTCTCTGCAAATTTCAGAAATATTTTTAGTGCACTGAAGGGGTCCTAACACCACACCAATGATGTACAGTTTCCTGTTATAGTACAGAGCCCTGGCAGTTCTCCTGTCATGTTCTTTTTCCCAAAGCTAGCACCAATAATAGCAGATTTTCTCAACAAAATGGAGCCAGATCCTGTTCTGTTGCCCAGCTGTAAGATGCAATGACTCCACAGAGCTGCTTTTTTTGGTTTAGGCGTTGATGCCACAGGGACGTGGATGCTCTCTCTAAGCAGAACGTGGTTTGCTGGCTGGGACCAGAGTGCTTAGCACCTTGCAAGAGCCAAAATAATTACGGGCTGAACACAACCCCTTCTCGCCACCACCCACACCAGCTCTCACCCCTCCCAAGATATAATTTGGCATTATATGAGGACAGAATACACATCCCATGGGAAAAATGTAACACAGATGCTGCACCAGACCTTTTCTCCATATTTCTTGATACCATTACCTCAAGTACGGCTACAACATTCTTCAGTCCTGATGTTTTTCCTTTTTGCTTGTGTATTCCAGTAACGAAAGTCATCTGCGCCCAGCAGTGCTCTGGCCGGTGCCGGGGAAAGGTGCCCAGCGACTGCTGCCACAACCAGTGTGCTGCGGGGTGCACGGGGCCGCGGGAAAGCGACTGCCTGGTAACAGTGCTACACCACCACCACAATTGCTTAAATCCCTGGGCACAGCGAGGTGGTCAGCTGCCTGTCCTCTAGCCTTCCGTCATCTGAGAAGGCCTCTAAGAGATGCTGACCTGCAGGGTGGTCCGGGGCTTCCCTGCGTCAGGTGTGGGGGGAGGGAAGAGGATATGAACGTTACATCACCCTTAGCTGGTCTTTACGGACTCTGCAGTTGGACTTTCCTAACACCTTCAAGAGCCCAATGAGCTCAAAGTTGTTTGAGCAGCTCAAAGAGCAGTTAAGTGTTTGCTTGGAGGGCAACGTCTCCACATAGGCAGGTCCCCAGGTCCTCAGCTGCTGCCACAGTGCAGTGCCATGCCACCACAGCATTACCATGTGCTCCTTATAGCTACTCAGGAATAACCGCAGAATCACATGGAATCATTTGGGTTGGAAGGGACCTTAAAGACTATCCAGTTCCAACCCCCCTGCCATGGGCAAGGACACCTTCCACTAGACCAGGTTGCTCCAAGCCTCATCCAGCCTGGCCTTGGACACTTGAATCTTAGCTTACTGAAGCAAGAACTTGTAAAGGGAATCAAATATGATGAATCTTCACTCTTTTTGCATTTCATTGAACTTCAGACACAAAACCAAGGTTTCCCTTTCTGGTTTTGCTTCAAAAGCACTGTTTTTGTGGGGACCCTGGGACAGTGAAGGGAAAAGGAGCAAATGGAGCTTTTTTAGGAAAAAAAAGAAATCCCATTGCTTTTCTACAAAAGTTTCAGGGGGTTGGTGCACCCTGGTTTTCAGCTCTTCGCTATGTTTGCACTACACTCAATTCTGAATTAAGTGACACTTGAGTAATTGCCATAGAAGCCATCTGGTCTGGGTTTTGTTGTTATGTATTCCTGGTCCCCTTATGAATTGTGTAGCTATGACACCCTTACTGGCTCATAGAGGAGACAGTTATTCTCTCTCATCAGGAAAGCCAGGGAAGAAAAAAGGGAAAAAGAGTGTGATTATTAACTTAATGCAAAATTAAGTTGGAAGAACCAACTTGTCCTTCATAAATGCCTGCTAAATTGTTCATTACCTGCAGCCAAATATAATGGCTTCAGTTTAATATTTAGCCAGAAAAGTCAGTAATCGGCAGGAAAGAACATGATTTCGGTTATTAAAAAGCAGCCAAGAAAAGTACCGTTTGTC